CCAGAGAAGACCTGCCGATTTGTTCACTTGGTTGTAGCCAACCCGGATGGCGCACAACTGTCGAATAGCAGAGGGTTTGTCGAGTAATAGGTGGGCTCCGAAGCTCATCGAATGCACTGTCATGTAGCAGCAAGTGTGACATTAACAGGGCGCGGATGATCGCGTTCCGTTTTCTAAATCTTACTTTCTTAAACCGCACGGCGCGTGGACCATCTTACAGCATATCCCAAAATGGAAAGATTGATTCGAATACAGAAGAAGGATTGTGGAGCTTTTGAACCCTAACAGGAGTCCATCGTCAGAGACAACAGCAACAAAAAGAGGCTAATTATAGTATGTGTACGCCCAACGAAATGTCAGGGGCCACAAGTCCGTAAGGAGTAAGAAAAAACATTGAAATAGAAGGGGGGCAGAAGTTATAGAGTTATACGTTAACCGTCAGTGAAGGCAGGGTTCGTTAGCCGTCAGCAAATAGAATCGGAGCAATTATAGAGGATGTGGGCCAGTTAACTGTGACGGACATCGGAGCGTTACTGCACGTGATTGCGTAAGGCTCTTTACGCCGGTGCCAATTCGATACGTCGGTTGACTGAATTCCCGTCCGTGCACCAGGCGTCCATTAGTTCCCTGCTCGTCTTGTTTCTGGCGTGGGCCAGTACCTTGACTGCCGCGAGGTTGAACTCGTGGCCTGTTTCATAGGTATGCGCTGCAGTTTGTGCGCTAATTCACCGCCTCGTCGTACAACCAGCTTGTGTTCATTTATGCGCGACCCCAGCCTGCGTTCAGTTTGGCCTGTGTAGTTACAAGAACAGCTTAGGCATGGGATGTGATAATAAAAAATTGATCCGGTGTTCGACAATTCTTCTTCCTGATCCATGCAAATGCCTGGAACGTGAACGTTTTCATTAACTCGTAATTATTAATTTGTTATGCTGTCTCTTCAATCAAACTGAGGTGCCGAAGGCGTCAGCGTTAGGTGAGTAGTTTGATCTGACGCTGGCATCCTTCTCTATACGAATACACAATTTCTATTTTGTCTGTGCCTCGGGTGCATCCAGTGTACCCTACGAATTCGAAAATGCTAGTCCGGTACTGTGCTCGTTTACAGATCAGAATCCGGTGCTGAATAAATAAGGCAAAGTCTGATGCAGTTCCGCCAGTCCTGGTTCCGTCAGGAAAATTATTTCCCTGGACTAAGATCTCATCGATTAACAGTGAGTGTATGTAAACCCAATTTTTTTGCGCCGTCCACCTGCCCGTCCCGCCCCCAAATTACCAACCATACAGTAGGACTTTAATTTTATTTTATATCAGAATTAATTAATGCACTCGAATCCTTACTGTTACTGGATTTAACCTGCACATACTCTGTCAACCACCCCCCCCCTTCGGGTTTAGGATTTGCTACGAAAAGGTTTACAGCAGTTCGCAGAACGTGCTCACTCCTTTTCAGCTAGCATTGCATTTAAACACTCCTGAGTAAAGCTATATGTTACTTCAAGTGGGTTAATTCTTACAATTTCGGTATTTTGCCAGTTGGCTCCGCTATAGCAAGTCTGTTTGCCTCGTTGAGAGGCTGTTGTAATGAGCATGCACTTGTTGGAACGCGCTTTAGTATGCTGCCGAAAGGGGCCAAAATGCGAATGCCTTAGCACACTAAAATGCAAGGGTATTGGGGTTCCGACGTGGTTCACGACGAAGTTAAGCATTTGCTTGTGACACGTAAAGGCCCTTGCCTCACTAGCACGTCAATCAATCGCCTTGTACTTAGTTGAATGACGCCACTCTGTCTTATTTCAAAGCCATAGTACGGTGTGGTTCGGCATTTAGATCAGCAGCGAGGTGCGACCACGAGTGGCTGATATTTAAATGGTCTGCAGTAACTGGTAGCTGTGCAAGAAATGATATTTTATGTCGCGAAGGCTAAAAGAGTGCGAAGTACTGGCATCTGTATATCCTTCCTTTTACCACTAAACCTCTTTCATTCAAAGGCTATTTCTATCAAACTTTTGTATTTCTACAAGAAGGTAAAATCAAGGCCATTTCAAACCAGCATACTTAGTGCCACTACCTTTGACAGATTAGTGTTCAGTCGGTGGTTTACACTTCCCGACTTTGATCTGATTTCTTTATAATTTGTTTGGTGCGCCGTACAAAATCCACCAGTGATCGTCGCAGAGTAGTCAAAATTCAAATGTACATTCAATTATGACAAGCAAGAATTTCACGGCTTCTGAAACCCTTAATCTTATCCACCATCCTCAAAGACAAGGCATCATCAAGATTCCTGTACATAAAGTTGAGCGCAGTTGCCCGGCAGGCAGTCGCCGTAGCCTGCGGTTCAAGGCGCATAAATCTAACTGCTTTCAGTGGCTCTTTCATTGGTAAACGTGGTCATTGGACCGCAGGGTACGTAGGTTCGCCGTTTTGTATTCGTACAGCCTTTTCGTCTATTGGACTTATTTTACTAAAACTAACTGCTCGTTTTGAAGACCAAGAACTGGGATTAAAGGAGGCCCACTGTTGACAGATGGTATCACCGGCAAAGACAAGGGATACTGGAATGGCCATTTCTGGATTAATAGCCGTCGTCAGCCAGTCATACACATACTCAAGTGGCGCCCCAACCGAGCGTCGAACTCGCGACCTCTTTGATCAGAGTCAAACGTCCTTAACCTTTGTGCCACGAGCTCGCTGTCTTAACGGGTTAGGTCGAGGGATATTGAAACTCATTGGTGAACATTCACCCGACCGTCAGCGGAACTCATCTGCTCCGCTCTGCTTTGATCCCTGTCATAGGGCCTGATAGCCGCAACAGCTGGTAGAATAGGCGGATAATATTACCGGCAACAACAAGGGAGACTGGAATGGTCATTTCTGGTTTGTCTTTGCCGGTAATACCATCTGTACATTCTACCAGCTTTTACGTCTGTCACGGCCTCTGGCGGAGCCCAAGGCAAAGTGGGACAGATGTGTTTCGTTAGCGGTCGAGTAAACGTTCATCAGTGAATGCTTACTATAGTCATTCTTCCTAAAACTTGACCGACTCGTCAGTTTCTCGTGTCTGAGCTACTGAAGTAGTGAACTTCACCTAGACGGAGGGAGATTTGCCGAATATGCATATCTAGCGCAGTGGGCGCTTAAGTCAAGAATAGCCTCCTGGAGCCACAAATACGCGTCAAATTAGAATGAAGCATAATTTTCCCGGTGAGAACTTGAAAAAACTAATGCACAATTTTAATGGATCCATAAAATTTAATGAGTGCTCGTCAGTTGCATCCACTCAATGCGTTAAAGGTTCATGAAGGAGAAAATTACGAAATTGAAGTTTGTACAGAAATGTCATAGGTCATAATCACTAAGGCTAATTAAGGCTAATTAGTAAAGAAGGAAAGTTAAACGAGGTAGAGGGGGAACAGGGAAATTGGATTGCGGGAAAAAAAAGGGGGGGCAGGGGAATGCGCAAATCTGGGAGCCTGTAGTTACCAAGGCAAGGCCAGGTTAACCACATGCTCCAACTTTTTGCATAGGTCCGGTTTAAAGGGTCTTATACAGGTAGCACAAGATTCGAGATTTTCGTGCTCGAACAAGAACTCGGAATGGAGTTATAGGGTCTACAGAATGACCCGTGTCCAGCAAGTGTTCCGTAATAGAGGAACGAGGGT